GCAGAGGGGGGTGGAGGCCAGTGGAGGGATTGGCAGAGGGGGGTGGAGGACACTGAGTGGAGGCCAGTGGAGGGATTGGCAGAGGGGGGTGGCGGAGACGGAGCAGTTGGAAAGGTGAATGAGTCTGGCAGCCGTATTCAGGATGGACTGAAGCGGGGATAGCCAGCGGCGAGGCAGGCCAGTGAGGAGGGAGTTGCAGTATCGAGTCGTGATATGATGAGGGAGTGGATGAGCTGTTTAGTGTGGTTTCTGGGGTTAGGAACGTGCGGATTTTGGCGATGTTGCGGAGGTTGGAGTCTGCATGTTGCGGAGGCGGAGTCTGCATGTTGCGGAGGCGGAGTCTGCATGTTGCGGAGGTGGAGTCTGCATGAGTTTGTTAAAGATTGGACTTGGGGCTGGAAGGATAGGTTGGAGTCCAGAATGACACCAAGTACTCTGGCCTGGGGGGCGGGTTTGATGGTGTCGTTGTTGGACATGATGGAGAAGTCAGTGGGGGGTGGTGTCCGGGCTGGGGGAAGACAAGAAACTCGGTTTTGGAGAGGTTCAGTTTAAGGAAGTGGAGCGACATCCAGTCTGATATGTCGCTCAGTAGGTGTGTGATTCGGGCAGAGACCGAGGGGGTGAGGTGGGGGGTTGAGAGATAGATTTGTGTGTCGTCGGCATATGAGATGGTAGTTGAAGCCGTGAGAGTGTATGAGTTGGCCAAGGGAGGAGGTGTAGATGGAGAAGAGAAGGGGCCCAAGGACAGATCCTTGAGGGACCCCCAACAGAGAGGGGGAGTGAGGGGGAGGTGGTAGCATTATAGGTAACGCTGAAAGAGCGTTGTGACAGGTAGGATGAGAGCCAGGAGAGATCAGAATCTCTGAGGCCGAGGGAGTGTAGTTTTTTTGAGGAGGAGGGGGTGGTCGACTGTGTCGAAGGCCGCAGAGAGGTCAAGGAGTAGGAGCACTGAATAGTGGCCATTAGCTTTGGCGGTTAGCAGGTCGTTGGAGAGTTTGAGTAAGGCAGTTTCGGTGGAGTGTAGGGGACGGAAGCCAGACTGTAGGGGATCGAGGAGGTTGTTGTCGTTGAGGTGAGAGCATAGGCGGGTGTAGACTAGGCGCTCGAGGAGTTTAGATGTAAATGGGAGCAGGGAGATGGGTCTGAGGTTGTTCGGGTCATTGGGGTCCAGGGAGGGCTTTTTAAGTATAGGGGTGATGTGTGTGCATGTTTCAGAGGGGAGGGAAAGTGCCGGAGGAGAGGGAGAGATTGAAGATGTGGGTGAGGGAGCGTAGGATGTTGGGGGAGGGAGGTCGTAGGAGTTGTGAGGGGATAGGGTCGAGGGGGCAGGTGGGGGAGGTGGGAATAAGAGAGGATCTTGGAGACTTCCTCGATGGTAGTAAGGTCAAAGGTGCGGAGTGTTGGGGGGGGCTTCAGTATGAGGAATGTAGGGTGGGGTGGAGGTCAGAGTAAGGTGGTGGGGCCGTGGGAGAGGGGTGATGAGGGGGTAGCTGAGTGAGGGGGAATGAGGTTGGAGGGAGTTTGAGCAGTGATGAAGTCCCTGTGGGTTATGTCGAGGGAGAGGGGGGATGAGGGGGGTAGCTGTGTGAGAGGGGACGGGTTGAGAGGGCGTGTGAGTTGCGGCAATGTCCTTGCGAATTGTGTCAATCTTGTTTTTGAAGTGATTGGCAATCTCAAGGGCGGTGAGTGAGGTGCTGGGTGGGAGGTGGGGGTGGCGAGAGTAGAGAGTTAAAGGTGGAGAAGAGTCGGCGAGGATTGGAGGAGAGGGCCTTGATGTGGGTCAGGAAGTAGGCTTGTTTGGCTGCGTGGAGGGAGGAGGTGTAGGTGTGGAAGGCAGATTTGTAGCTTGTTGGGATTTGGTTTTGCACCATAGTTGCTCCAGGGCACGACTGTGTCGTTTGAGGGTTTTGGTGTGTGATCAGTCTGCCAGGGCTGGAGCGGTCGGGGTCTGATGTTGCGTGTGGTTGAAGGCGCTAGTGAGTCAAGGGCTGTTGACAGCGTGTTGTTGTAGGCAGTCATGGCCAAGTCGGGGCAGGACAGGGGGAGGATGCGGTCGTGGAGTTGATCAGCTGCCGAGTGGAGGGGAGCAGGGTTCAGGTTGCGGAGGTTACGGCTGGTAGTATTGTGACATTTGGAGGGGTAGGCGTTGGAGGACGAGGAGATAGAGAAGGTAATCAGGTTGTGGTCAGAGAGAGGGAAGGGGTGTGTTAGTGAGGTTGTGGGGAGCGCAGCGGTTGGAGAAGACAAGATCAAGGATATTACCGTTGGAGTGGGTGGTGGATTGTATGCACTGTGCAAGTGCAAAGGAGGAGGTTAGTGGAGGAGACGGGATGTGTCCGGGTTGTCGAGGTTGACGGGGATGTTGAAATCCCCAAGGATGATGGTGGGTAGCTCAGAGGAGAGGAAGAAGGGTAGCCAGGAGGAGAAGTCCTCCAGGAAGCGGGGTATGGATCCAGGAGGCCGGTATATCACAGCAATCTTCAGGGGGGTTGGGGAGAATAGTTGGACGCAGTGGGCCTCAAAGGAGGAGAAGGATAGAGAGGGGGGGTTTGGGAGGACTCGGAAGATGCTCTGCGGTGACAGGAGAAGACCAACCCCACCACCTTTACAACCGTCAGGTCTGGGTGAGTGGGTCCAGCGAGACCTCTATAGGAGAGTGCAGCAGGGGAGGTAGAGTCAGTGGGTTGGATCCAGGTTTCCATAATCGCTAGGAGGTTGAGGGAGCGGGAAACAAAGAGGTCGTGGATGGCGGTAAGCTTGTTGCACACCAATCGGGCGTTCAGGAGTGCACATGAAAATGGGGGGGAGGTTTTAGGGAGCAGGGGAACAGATACTAAGTTGCGGGGGTTGCGGCGGGACATGGAGGCGGGAGGGTGTTGTGTGGGTGAGGGAGGGAGGTGGTGGAGGGCCAGGATTTGGGGAGATGTCCCCCGCGGATAGGAGGAGGAGAAGGGTGAGAAAGGTGCATGGGAGCGGGATGTGCAGGAGCGTGAGAAACTACTAGTGGAGGTGTTGGGGTCAGTGGGGAGAGTGGAGTATAGGAGGAGGTGGTGGGTGCCATAGAGGGGTGAGGGAAGCAGTGAGGGCACAATATACAATTGTTTGGGAGGAGCAGAGGGATATAGTGAATGGATTTTGGGAACAGAGGAGAGGAAAATGAGAAGGAGGAGTGGAAGAGGCATTTTGGGGAGGTGAAGAGAGCAATAGTAGGGAGATGATAGCAATGAGGGGGAGATGTACAAAGTTTTGGGGTGGAGCAGAGGGGTAAAGAAATGAGATTTGGGAACAGAGGATAGTAATATGAAAAGGAGAAGAGGGGTGTATTATATAAAGGTACACGGAGTGGGAGGTATGTAAGAGAGGTTTCCCAGGGTGTTTGCTTGCAGTCTGTCCAGCATGCAGTAGAGGTTCTTGTTGTTGTTGTGTCTTCCTGCATGGTTCAGTTTTATCGTTCAGCCAGCGGGATGAGTGAAAAAACTGAAGTGATTCCCCCATCCACACATTGGAGGTGGAGGGGGGAATCCTCCCCGCTGCACTCTTGTATTCTGACAATGGGGGGACTCCTCCGCTCTCAGAATACACAGATCAGCACTGAAGCTATTGCTGCAGCCGCTGGGGGAGTGGCTTTTATTCAGCAGTGGCCACACATGGATGGAAATGTGAGTGATCCCTGCTGAACCAGCTGAATTTCCATGGATCTATGGTCACCTTCAGTGACTTCCTCCCCTCCCCCTCATCTCCTTCATGATGGAAGTCATGCTGAGATCATCTCCCATTGGCTGAGCAATATTCTCATTTGTCTCTCAGCTCCTTCTTGCTATTCCTCGTCCTGCCTGTTGTTTCCTTGGATTGATTTTCTGTGTAGTGACCCCGGCTTGGTCTCTTGGATGCGCTCGTCTGTTGCTTGCCCTGACCTTTCTCCTGATTCCTGGATCTCCTCCTCATCTCTCCTCCATATCCTCTTACACAGCTTTTCTCCACACCTGCAGTGACCCTGGGGGGAGGAAACTTGGCACCAGCACGCCGCCAAATCCATCCCCACCATTAGGGGCTCTGGAGACAATTGTCTGCTATTTACACTCCGTTCCTCCGCACGTCACCTGATCACATGACAGCTTACTTCCACAGATTCCGGACAGATTTCTGGATGGTAAAGGTCAAAGTTCACTCTTCAGTTTAGGAGAGGTAGGACGCCCAGGAACAAGGATTTGGTTTGCATGGGAGTCTTATATAGAGGACCCCTCAAATCTCCCCATCCAAATGTCCCTCCATCCAGAGTCTATATGTTCTATGACATCACACTGACCTCACAGCTCCTCCCCCCAATGTCCCTCCATCCAGAGTCAGAGAATCCTATGACATCACACTGACCTCACAGCTCCTCCCCCCAATGTCCCTCCATCCAGAGTCAGAGAATCCTATGACATCACACTGACCTCACAGCTCCTCCCCCAATGTCCCTCCATCCAGAGTCAGAGAATCCTATGACATCACACTGACCTCACAGCTCCTCCCCCAATGTCCCTCCATCCAGAGTCAGAGAATCCTATGACATCACACTGACCTCACAGCTCCTCCCCCAACCTCACAGAGCTCCTATGACATCACACTGACCTCACCCCTCCCCCAATGTCCCTCCATCCAGAGACAGAGAATCCTATGACATCACACTGACCTCACAGCTCCTCCCCCAATGTCCCTCCATCTGACTTTTTTCTGATGCTCTTAGGATGTGGGGTCCCTTGGTATCCTCACATGTAAAGTGGGACTGTTGGTCCTGCGTTGTATGTAATGACATCAGAATGCTGCAACAAGCCTATACCCTGCGTAGTGTGGGGGTCCTGTGGGGGGAATTATACCTCAGCCTGAAGAGGGGCTTTAATAAAATGGAGACCTGAATGGAGAGGTGAGGAGGATTCTGGGAATATCATTTGATGTGACTATTTGTTCAGATGTAGAGTTTTCCTCCTGTGAAGTCTGGAGATCATATGACATCACATTGCCTCCACCTCCCTCCCTGATAGAAGAGAGAAAGAAGAAGAAGATTCTAGAAGTCACCAGAGAGATCACTGAGCTGCTGACAGGAGAGGTGAGCGGTGCCGGGAATTCTGGGACATTCTCCAGTAACAGACAAGGGATGTGTCTGGATGGTGACTGTATCATTGTGTGTGTCAGGTTCCTATAAGGTGTCAGGGTGTCACTGTCTATTTCTCCATGGAGGAGTGGGAGTATTTAGAAGGACACAAGGATCTCTACAAGGACGTCATGATGGACAATCAGCCGCCCCTCACATCACCGGGTAAGAGGAGACTTTATTGTAAAGGAGAGAGCAGTACGGAGGATCCACCTAGATCCCCCATCATCTGATAAACACATAGAAACAATGGATTCAGTCAGTGTGTGTGTTTCCTACAGATGGATCCAGTCATGGGAACCCACCAGAGATGTCCCCCCGTCTCTGTATTCCCGGGATTCCACACAGGAAGGTCACACCATCCCTCACCATCATCAGGTAGATGAGGAACAATCACTGATAGTATCATTAGGATCTGTACATTATCTGCATTGTTACCATTGATGTCATTTTATTATATATTCAGAGAGTGGAAACCTGAGAGATCCTAAAGTTGAGGTTAAGGAAGAGATAAAAGAGGAGGAGGATGAGGATGGGGGGATGGAGGAGTCAGAGCTTCTAAAAGAACACAAAGATCTGTACCAGGACACCATGGTGGAGTCATCCAGCTACAGGAACCCACCAGAGAGATGTCCCCGTCCTCTGTATTCCCGGGATTCCACACAGGAAGGTCACACCATCCCTCACTATTTCAAGGTTATTGGGATGGATCATCTAGAACATGGACTTGTGGAGATGATGTGTGGATTTTTTTATGTGATCTTACATTTTACAGATGATATTTTCTCTCATTTCCTTGATTTAGAGTGGAGATCCAATCGATATAGAATTTGAGGTGAAAGCAGAAGAAGAAGAGGCGTATGTGAGGGATGATCAGCAGTCTATGGAGGAGGATGGAATAACGGGGACATTTATAGAGGAGGACACTCCTACAGAGATCAGCACAGGTGGGTCATGAACACTAAATCCATTCCTCCACCCATACTGCTCACTGATTGGTCCAGAGTAGGGCGGGGGACTGGGTGATATCAGCCTGTAATCCCCTGGTCACTTTCCTGAGCTGTGTTCCCCGTCCTGTATTCCTGGATTTCTCTCGGATAATCTTCCTTCTCTGTGCTGCAGACACAATTTTATGTATCTAGACTGGATTTATGGAGGTTCTGGGGTTCAGCTGGCAGAAAAATGTTGATGTTTACCTAAGACGATACTAGACCTAGGCACCTGGGGTGTGTCTTGTATCTTTTTCTCCTCCATGCCCGGGTCTAGTAAGATCTCTGACAGAACATTTCTCCAGGGTTCCTTGCTCTGTGGTCTACTGGCTGTGCCGGGTGGAGGGATATGTCTGTAGTGTCTCAGACCCAAGTCACTGAGTGCAGTCTCAGGAGATGGGAGGCAGCGGTGTGGGATCTCTGCAACTTGTCTACAGTAAACATTTAATCTTCCACTGATTGCTGAATACCAATATTATGAGTCCTGACCCTTACACTTTATAATTTATATTGTACATTACATACTCCTGACCCCTGCACTATATACTCTATGCTGTGCATTACATCCTCCTGACCCCTGCTGCACTATATACTCTATGTTGTACACATTTACATACTCCTGACCCCTGCACTATATACTCTATGTTGCTGTGCATTACAATCCTCCTGACCCCTGCACTATATACTCTATGTTGTACATTACATACTCCTGACCCCTGCACTATATACTCTATGCTGTGCATTACATCCTCCTGACCCCTGCACTATATACTCTATGTTGTATATTACATACTCCTGACCCCTGCACTATATACTCTATGTTGTACATTACATACTCCTGACCCCTGCACTATATACTCTATGTTGTACATTACATACTCCTGACCCCTGCACTATATACTCTATGTTGTACATTACATCCTCCTGACCCCTGCACTATATACTCTATGTTGTACATTACATACTCCTGACCCCCTGCACTATATACTCTGTGTTGTACATTACATACATACTCCTGACCCCTGCACTATATACTCTATGTTGTACATTACATACTCCTGACCCCTGCACTATATACTCTATGTGTTGTACATTACATACTCCTGACCCCTGCACTATATATTCATACTGTACTCCTATATACTATATATATATCATTCTGATACTATATAGTCCTATCTGCTGTATTTTATACATTATCTTGTACTTTACATAGTTCTGACTTCTGTTCTCCACCCTCCCCCCCGGTGGCCCCCCCACTGCTATATATATAAAACATAATATGTACTCTCATTGTTTATACCCATTTTCTACCTGCTGGACATTTTGTATGCAGTGTTTTGATTGGATCACAGACTTTTAATGAGGGAGGAGTCAATACCCCAATGATGGTGGTCTTCAGGATCAGTCCAGTCTTCATCTTGGTTGTTCTCCCCCCATCCTCACTCTCTGACCTCTGGTAGGGCTCAGCCCCGCTGTTCTTCATGACTAAATCATGGAGTAAATAAGGAAGTGCAGTACTTCTTGTGTTGGGAAGATGGCGATGAGTGATAGAGGGGGTGGGGGACCCTCGTCCTATAATCCCCTCATCACTGTCCCTCCTATAAAAGACAGTTCTGTTGTTTCCTCACTCTCTGACTAAGGTCCATGAATAAAGAAATGACCTGGTAGGAGATCAGAGGAGCCATTTCCTAGTTCCCTTGAGGGTGGAATTGTATAGCTCCTCAGAGACCAAGCTGCCTGATGTGGGTGGAGTCCTGGTTTGGGGGAACCAATCAGCTCCTGTCTAGTAATCCTCTTTGTCTTTGTATTTTAGTCCATGGCCGGGAGATGAGGAAAACCTCCGAGGATTGTCTCACTTTGTCTCCAGACTGGAAAGTAGAAGATGAGGACATCACACAGTATAGTCCAGGAGAAAACCCGGCTCCCTCCAATGTCCATCCGGCACCACCCAGTGTAGATGGACCATCGGATTCCTCGTATCCTGAGGAACCTCAGACTGTGCGGGACCGGGCCGGCCTTCCAACAGGGAAGAGGTTCTCCTGTACTGAGTGCGGGAAGGGTTTCCATTATAAATTACCCATCTTAATGTGCATAAAAAGATCTCACACGGGGGAGAAGCCGTATTCCTGCCCTGAGTGCGGGAAGTGTTTCCGTTACAAATCTGGTCTTAATATCCATAAAAGATCTCACACAGGTGGGAAGCCTTTTTCCTGTCCTGAGTGTGGGAAATGTTTCCCCTTGAAATATTGCCTTATTGTCCATAAAAGATCTCACACAGGAGAGAAGCCTTATTCCTGTCCTGAGTGCGGGAAATGTTTCTGTTCTACCAGTATGGTCTTAATGTCCACATACGATCTCACACAGGAGAAAAGCCATATTCCTGTCCCACCTGAGTGTGTGTCCCCTGAGTGCGGGAAATGTTTTATACTTAAAATCAGATCTTGTCTACAATGTCCATCAAAGGCTTCACACGGGGGAGAAAAGCCATATTCCTTGTTCTGAGTGGAAAAATGTTTTTCAAATCAAGATCTTGTCACAGACATCAAAGGTTTCACACGGGGGAAAAGCATATTCCTGTTCTGAGTGCGGGAAATGTTTTTCAAACAAGTCCTGATCTTTACACAGACATCAGAGATCTCACACGGGTGAAAGCCATATTCCTGTCCTGAGTGCGGGAAATGTTTTTTCACAAAAGTCTGATCTTTACAGACATCAGAGATCTCACACACGGGGGAGAAGCCATTTTCTTGTCCTGAGTGGGGGAAATTTTTTCAGAGAAGTCCAGTCTTTTTACAGACATCAGAGATCTCACACGGGAGAGAAGCCATTTTTCCTTCCTGAGTGCGGGAAATGTTTTTTCACGTAAGTCCAGTCTTTACATGCATCAACGATCTCACACGGGCGAGAAGCCATATTCCTGTTCTGAGTGCGGGAAATGTTTTTTCATGTAAGTCCAGTTTTTACAGACATCAGAGATTGCACACTGGGAAGAAGCCACTTTCCTCTCCTGAGTGAGGAAAATGTTCCTCACTGAAGTCCTGTCTTCCTGTACATCAGGGGTCCCACACAACCCTGGAGGTGTATTAGTGCCTTGAGTGCGGGAAATGTCTTCTAGATGAATGTTGCTGGACATCCCAGCTCTCATGTGGGGAAGAAGCACACCCTGATATACACCTCAGATATACTCCATGGCTGATCTTCCTCATGGAAGATACAGTTCATAGGGGAGATCAGAGGTCACCAAAGACATGGATGAAGTGTGGGACCGGGTTGGCCATTGATAGCAGAAGAATAAAAATGGAGTCATCACCTTTCATTTTCTGAGTACATTTTGTGGTGGGAGATTTCACAAACACTTGGAGGTCTGTGTAAAAGAAAACAATGTGAATGTATGTGACCCAGCTGGGATGAATATTGGGTGTATTTTATCTCAAGCTGATTTCCTTGGCTCCATGGCTCCATCTAGTGGCCATAATGCAATATTGAGATATTTTTACTCATTGAGTTATTTTCAGGATGCATACCCCATTTTGGTCTCTAGATGGAGCTGATGATCATAGGAAATCACTGTGTTACATTAAATTACGGCCAGAGTTTGTCATGGCTGGATGAATTTATTGTCACATTTTCTATAAGGGGACCCCTTAGTTTCTCTCTTCAGGCACGGTCTCATAATAATACCTGACAGCCAACAAAGTGCTGAACGTAACAACAACATCTGTATATTCAACCGAGATATAAAGGAAGAGGTGACAAAGGAGGTTCAGATCCATTCACACCACAAACCAATGCAGTCACCAGTCATTCCAAGGGAGATCAGGTGACCTGCATTGGAGGTGGTGAAGGTGGAGATGGCAAACCGTATTCCGGATGGTCCCATGTGTCTCATACTTTATTGAACAGGTCCAGCTGGTCAGCTTGGGGTTGGTGTAAGGTGTTCCATGCCTGGAACCAATGTTATAGTATCAGGTAGCTGAGTGTGAGGGGGGAGGTTAGAGAGCCAACACTTAGAGATAACTCATCTGACACCAATAAAATATGGTGGGCTAATTCCTTGGACTGTTTATAGATTCCTGAAAATGGTAAACCCAATAGAGAATGAATGGGGTCATTAGGAAGAGGCACATCAAGAACTCTCTCATGCATGGATTTTAGGGCTGGAGGGTAGGACATTGCCATAGTATATGGAATAATGAGCCCTCGCCTTGATGGCACCTCCCCCATGTGTCAGATGGAGTAAGGTTCCAGGCATGGAGAACATCAGGTGTTCTATACCAAACCTCATCACTTTGTAGGTAGTTACCTTGATTTAACGAAGAGTAATCATCTGTTATATAAACACCCAAATATCTGAGAGTCCGAGTACACCAATGGTATGGATAAGTGGACTGTAGGGAAGGGAAGGCCTTACTGGGGATATGGAAGGGAAGTGCTTCCATCTTGGACGTATTTATTTTGTAACCCAACAGTTTGGTAAAGGCAGATAATGTTTGATGGAGCACTGGAAGGGAAATATGAGGTTCAGTCAAGATAAAAGTAAGTCATCTGTAAATATTGATAATTGATATTCCCTGTGACATAGGGGCACCCCGTGAATGTCCACACTCAAATGTATAGCAGCTGCTGGGGGTTCTAGGCTCAGAACATATAATAGGGGTGAGAGCGGACACCCCCGTCTGGTGCCATTGTTCATAGGAAAAGAAGAGGAATAGGTGAATGAGAGCTTGACCTGGGATGTGGGGTGACAGTATAAGGCCCAGATGGCATTTAAAAAAGTGCCTATGAAGCCAACGCAAGTCAAGGATACTACCATGTAGGGCCAACCTAACCTATCCAACTCCTCTTGGGCACCTGAGCTCAATAGCAGTGCAGGCGTCTGTTTTGTTGAGATTGTCAACCAGGTTTATCGCCCGTTGGGTGTTGTTCCCTGCTTGTGTAGTTGGGATAATCCCAACCTGGTCTCTGTGGATAAGTCATGGAAGGAGCCCGGGAAAGACTGTTGACTAGAATCTTTGTGAAAATCTTATAATTGGAAATAATCCATGTTATCGGACGGTAATTATCTGGGGAGGTGGGCTTTTAACCGGGCTTTGGAATGACTGTGATGTAAGAATGCATAAAGTCTGAATGGGGAATCCCCCCTTGAGTAAAGAGTGATAAAGGTCTAGTGGGGGGCCAATATTGGAGAGAATTTCCTGTAATATTGATAGGAGTCCATCCGGACCTGGAGATTTATGAAGGGGGAGTTTGCTAATAACCTCCATGAGTTCCTCAATAGTTATATTAGAGATGAGCGAATTATTCAAAAATTCGATTCGGCTGATTCGCCGAATTTGCGGAATAAATTCGATTCGATGCGAATTTATTCGCTGCGAATTTAACTTATTAAAAGGGTTTCTAGGCTTCAGAGAGCCTTAATATTAGTGCAGAACACTGTACCTTTAATTTAAATGCCCTTGGAGTCTGCTGGGGAAGAGAAATAATACTGTCAGTCAGTATGACATGCAGATGAGTGCCGTCGATCTTAGAATCACCGCACACTTCACTCATTTGGGCAGTCACGGGGCACGACGAAGAAGATGAAGAAGAAGATGATGAAGAAGAAAGAAGATGATGAAGAAGATGATGAAGATGAAGAAGAAGATGATGAAGAAGAAGAAGATGAAGAAGAAGAAGATGAAGAAGAAGAAGATGATGAAGAAGAAGAAGATGATGAAGAAGAAGAGGATGAGGAGAAGAAAGGATGATGAGGAAGAAAGAAGATGAGGATGAAGAAGAAGATGAGGATGAAGAAGAAGATGATGAAGAAGAGGATGAAGAAGAGGATGAGGAAGAAGAAGAGGATGAAGAAGAAGAAGAGGATGAGGATGAAGAAGAAGAAGAGGATGAGGAAGAGAGGATGAGGATGAAGAAGGATGAAAATAAGAAGAATTCCAGTACAGCAAAAAGTGTATCTGCAGAGAGCTCCGCTATTTCTGACAGTTCTCTGACAGTTCCTTCACATTTACAGCGGTTGAAACATTGTATCTATTTGTTTCCGAATAAAAACATCTGTATCCTAAATGGAAACAAATAGATACAATGTTTCAACCGCTGTAAATGTGAAGGAACTGTCAGAGAACTGTGTCAGAAATAGTGGAGCTCTCTGCAGGGACACTTTTTGCCGGCTGTAGAAGGGATGAAAATCGGCCGATCGGGAAAAATTTGATTCGTGCATCCGAAGTTTGCTAAGATTCGGTGCGAATCGAATTTTTCCTAATATTCGAAACGAATTCCACTTCGCCAAGTTCGATTCGCTCATCTCTAATAGTTATGTCAGAGATAAAAGTTTCAGATCAGAGGAGTTCAGTTTGGGTGTCTGTAGAGGCAGTAAATCCATCAGATGTTTCTGGACTATAAGGTGGGTGCTCGCCCGCTGTAAGGCCGTCATACAAGTTATGATGAAACTCGGCACAGGTCCCAGCCGATAGTAATAGGGGCAGTAAATGGGGGAAGCGTCTTGTTGGAGTGATCAGTGGGGGATGGATTGTGGTGGCCTAGCTCTGACTTTGTTCTCCATCATCCTGTGTGACTTATTGGATCAGTCATACAATTCCTGGTGAGTCCAGAGATTTAGGTCCCGTAATGTCTATCTAGTTCTCTGATTTGGTGGGATGACGATAAAGCTGCTCCTCTCTAGTTGGTGTAAAAGAAGGAGTCTGGACCGATTCTTATCACGTTTCAGGCGGGTGAATGTGGAAATGCATTGACCTCAGAAGAAAGCTTTATGTGCCTCCCACAGGGTAGACGCCTTGTACACTGAGCCAGTATTAAGCTGAACAAATTCGGTCAGAGCGGAGGAGGGAAGTGTATCCTGGATTTCTGGGACCTGAAGGAGGGACTCATTTATACTCCAGTGGTGGGATTTGGTTCCTGAGTCAGAGATCAGTATGTCCAGGATAACAGAAGCAGATCTGACCAGGTGATAAGGGGGCAGATAGGAGGAAGTAGTCCAAGCCAGAGTACATTTTATGTGGGGTAGAATAAAAGGTGTATTCATTATGGGTGGGGTGCTTGAGGCAGGTGAAGTCTGCTTTATCCACTGTAGGTGGCAATTGTCCCAAGTAGCACCACAGCCTAGAGAGGGAGTCCAGGGAAACACAGCTTCTCTATGGTTTCCTGGGGCAAATGAGCAGCCTTCTGGTTGGCTACACTGTGTCCATGTGACCCTTGGTGGCCATCTTGGGTAAGCAAGGTCTTTATAGGTCCCTGCTCCCAGGTTTTGGCACTCATTTTGCGAGTGGCTAGTGTAGGGAGAGAGACCCTGCTTGTTAGGGAAAGTAACTAGGGCTAGGGAGAGTTCCTAAAGTGGAGGGAGAAAGGCAACAGACTTGCTAACCTGGAAAGAAGCCTCCCCTCTTGGGACCAGACTGACCAGGCAATACATCACCCTCTGAAACAGACACTGTCGGCACCTTTCCTTAGCCACATCTTTGACTGGTTTGAACTGTGATTGAATTATTTCACTAAAGCGTTGCTGTCCTATCAGGGTGTTTGTAACATTGGAATTCTGCTCAATACAAGTTCAAGTTTTATTGTAACAAGACTCTGTGTGTTCACTGCCCCCGCACTGCACCGCTCCACGTGCTTAACCCCTTTCCCTCCAGAGGATTTCCCCCCATTCCTGACCAGGCCATTTTTTGTGATACAGCACTGCATTACTTTAACTGACAATTGCGCAGTCATGCAACGCTGCACCAAAATGAAATTTATGTCCTTTTTTTCCTCATAAATAGAGCTTTCTTTTGGTGGTATTTGATCACCAATGTGTTTTTTATTTTTTGCTCTATAAACAAAAAAATCTGAAATTTTATTTAAAAAACTATATTTTTTACTTTTTTTGCTATTAAATATGTCTAGTAAAACAGAATTTAAAAAATCTAATTTTGTTATAAATTTAGGCAAAAATGTA